CCGCCCCCCCTCTGGGGGCTTCCTCCTGGGACACTCTAAAAAAAAAAAAAAAAAAAAAAAAAACGCTCCTGGGATAACCACAGGATGTCTCAATGACCTCTGTGAAAAGAAGTTCAAACGCCCCAGGTGTGTCCACATAGTTTAACTGATGAGTGAATGTGTAACTTTGGGCTTCCTCTATTTCCTCCCTAGTCCCCCTCCCCTCCTTTATGGTTTTTGCCTTTATAAGCTTGTCACAAGTTTGGGTCAGGGTCGAACTCCTCTGAGCCTCGACCCCAGCATGCTGGCTTGAGATCTCATTCAATTCCTTTTTCAATAAACTTCCTCGTGTGATTGCAGCAAGTCCGGTCTCGGTGCCTCACTGGGTGCACGCTATTCCCGAGATTTGAGCAAGGGTCTCCCTTCGGGGGTCTTTCAGTTGCTGTCAACTACTCAGCAACTGAATTTAAAAACAAAGCACTCTGAGATGCACACATATTCCCTAGAATTTCTCTGTGACAGTAGAGGTACAAGAAGTACAGAGAAGCAACCAGTACAAACTTAAGAGAAAGGAAGTTGAAATGGGTACTGGGTGATAGCTGATTTGAGTTTTAAAGGAGTAATCAGAACTTTGGTGACAGAAGGATAAAAGAAAGGAAAAGGGAGTCTATATTGCAGATCAAGTGGAAAATAATAACAAACAGGAGATACACTAACAATCAAAATATGTACCTCATTAGGGATCCACATTGTTGTCTTTTGTAGCTCCCATGGCTGTGGAGATTTGATAAACCAGAACTTTTATCATATAAAACAGGAGAACAAGAAACCTAGAAAAAGATTTGGGAATCAAAAGAAGTCAGACATGGAATGAAGATGGCTTTGTTTGTAAAGAAACTGCAATATACATATAAAATAAAATACTTTACAGCCTTTGCTGAGGCATAAAATCCTGTTATTTGTGACTTCCTGGGCAAAACTGAAGACTATTTTTGTTACATGTGATAAGTCGACAACTAAAGACAGATATTGCATGATATCACCTATCTATGGAATCAAAAACTTCATGGAAGCATAGAATCAAATTCTAGTTTCTAGGGAACTGGAAAGCCTATGACTGGAAAGATGTTAATCAAAGTTACAACATTTTAGGTAGACTAGGAGAATAAATTCAAAGATGTTTTGTATGCCATGGTGACTACCATGGATTACAACTTATTACATCCATAAAATTTATAACACAGAATAGATTTTAAGTGTTCTCACTATAAATAAATGATAATCATGAGGTAAAAATAATCATAATATCTTTATTCATAAAAGACAGAAAGGTTAAACAACAGAAAGGTTAAGCAACTTAAATGTTTATCATTAATAGAATAAGTAAATCATGGCATATTTATACAATATAACAATGATCACTATATATACACCATTATATGTTATATATTAAATATTATTATATTATATATGCTAGTATATGCATATATACTATTGATACCCCAACCACCTGATTTGTGTATTTAATGAAATGCAAATATCGCAGGGCACATTCGATTCATATGAAATTCAAGAAGAGGCCAATCTAATATATAATGGTATAAATCAAGAGAGTTGCTGTTAGGGATTTTAAGGTAGGAAGGAAGACTTAAATAGAAGGCAGGCAGGAACTTCTATGTAACAGCAAGTCATGTCTTAACTCATGTATTAGACCTATAGATAAATACATCTTTCAAAATTTATCAAGCTTCACCTTATTACAAAACTTGAAGAGGAAGAAAGTCATTTCTGTCTTACTGTTATGTAGCCAATGCCCTATAGAGTGTCCTGTGCCAGAGCCCAGTGAAAAGTCTGTAACTGGACAAGTAAATGTTATCAGCAATACATACTGATTTAAATTGGAGTTTGGTGCATAAAGGTGAGCACCAAATACCTTTCTACTCTATATGAATATGGCTAATTCAACCTCTCTGCAATGATTATGTGTGTAGGATGGAAGTAAGATGTTGAAAATCACTTTCAGCCTAATTGCTTTTATATTAAAACAGGAGGCATAAGTAAAAAGGTAAAGGGGCTAGAAGGGAAGAAAAGAGATGACACGGGTGTGGTAAAAGCAAACAAGGGTATGAGGGGAATTCTCTACTTGTAAGTTATTGCAACAGTCTCTTCAAATCTGCCATCCTAACACACATACACACACACACACACACACACACACACACACACACACAC